AAACAGACAAGATGTCCAGGATGAACTCTTAGTTGGATAAAGGAGCCTGATTACAAAAAGGGAGTTAAAAAGCTCAGTAGGCTGGGCACAGTGGCTCATGCCTGTAATCCCAGCACTTTGGGAGGCAGAGGCTGGCAGATCACGAAGTTAAGAGTTTGAGATCAGCCTGGACAACATGGTGAAACCCTGTCTCTACTAAGAACACAAAAATTAGCTGGGTTTGGTGGCCCGTGCCTATAATCCCAGCTACTCAGGAGGCTGAGGCAGGAGAATCGCTTGAACCCAGGAGGCGGAGGTTACAGTGAGCCAAGATCACGCCGCTGCATTCCAGCCTGGGTGACAGAGCAAGACTCCGTCTTGAAGAAAAAAAAAAAAAAAAGCAAAAAAAAAGAAAGCATAGTAGACCAGATTGACCTACTTCTCAATTCTGTCGAGGGCAAATCCTGTTGGACCATCAACTGGGACAGTGCAAAATAGAAGCCAAACACATCAAGGTCTGTGCTGGTGTGAACAGAAGGTGACAATGACGATGGCCTCATTTCAGACCAACACAGATGTCTGTGCATCTGAGTAATGCATGTCTGTGGATAAGAGTGGGCCTTCTGACTTGGTAGATGTGGATAACACAATCCCCTGACTCTTTTACTAATTCAATGATGAATAAGTTTTGACCACCTACCATGCCTCCAGCCGAAAACTAGCCCCTGGGGAAAATAAAAGATATGTAAGACACAGGGCCTGGCCTTGAAGAATTTCAACTCTGCTGAAGAAGTCAAAAGCAACAGAATTAGAATTGAGAGCAATATCAGACCCTGTGGAATTAGGGTTGAGGGATGTGGTGTAGAGCAGAACCATGGCAAGAGCTTAGCAAAGTTGGGAGGAAGATGACTGACGACCAGGGTGTAGGAAGAGGAACTTGAGCTGGGGGTAACACCCTGGGCAGGTTGGGATTTGGCAGATAAAAGAGAGGAGATAAAAGAGAGTCATAGTGGGAAGAGAACAGTGGTAAGATTTTGGAGCTAGACAAACGCCTACCTCTATCACTTACTAGCAAATTATTCCATTTTCTCAGAACTTTAGTTTTTTCATCTATGGAATATATATAATACTTACCTCATAAAATGTTTATAAGGAAAGCACCTTGTACCTAGAAAACACTCAAAATATTAGTTATTTCCTTTCTCTCTTTTATTTGACAGGATGACAAGGATGGAGAGGCTCTTGATTTGGGTAGTGAGAAGTTGTTTGGATAAGAAAGCTGGGCCGTGCAGATTAAATATCATATTAGGTCCAGTGGGTCACTATTAAAGTTTGGAGTAGACCATTTTAGAAAGAATTGCCTGTTGTGACCATGAGGGCTTTTTTCCATTTCAGAGCTGTTTATATGAAGATGAGTTTAACCATGTGCATGAGACAGTGTTAGGCACATTCTTTCCAGAGACTGACAAGAATGCCATCAGCACCCTGGCCAGAGAAAAGCAGCTTTGAGCTCAAGTGTAACGGAAAGGAAACAGGCTTTGGAGCTAGACAAATGCCTAGCCCTATCACTTATTAGCAAATTACTTCAATCTCTCAGAACCTTAGTTTTTTCATCTGTGGAATGGGTATAATACTCACCCCATAAAATGTTTATAAGGAAAGCGCCTTGTACCTAGAAAACACTCAAAATATTAGTTCTTTCCTTTCTCCCTGTTGTTTATCAAAACTATTAAAGCAGGCCAGGCACAGTGGCTCATGCCTGTAATCCTAGCACCCTGGGAGGCCGAACCATGTAGCTCACTTGAGGTCAATAGTTCGAGACCAGCCTGGCCAACATGGTGAAACTCGTCTCTACTAAAAATACAAAAATTAGCCGGGCATAGTGGCAGGCACCTATAAACCCAGCTACTCAGGAGGCTGAGGCAGGAGAATCACTTGAACCTTGGGGCTGGAGGTTGCAGTAAGCCAGGATAATGACACTTCACTCTAGCCTGGGCAAAAGAGCGAAACTCCATCTGAGAAGAAAAAACAAACAAACAAAAACTATTAAAGCAAAACCTCTGATGCTTGATTTTATATAATAATGTTGTGTGGCAACTTAAAAACTGTGTCATTTATAGACACTCAAGGCAAGGAAAAGGTTTTGAGTCCTTATTTTTAAAATTGGAATTTTCTATAAAAGTTCGGAATGTTTTCTATTTAAGGTTGTTTTAAGCACAAAGTAATACAATTTATCCATAAAGATTAAACATTTAAATTTTTGTTACTAACTTTTATTTGTAGTTGTTTTTTACCTTTTAAATTAAATATTCGTTATGAATTTAATTGAGAAGGGGGGGAAAGTGAATGAGTGGATTCTTATAGTTAGAGGGGGTAAGACATCCACTTTTATACTATTTTTTTGTTTTGTTTTTATTTTCTATTTTTGAGACAGGGTCTTGCTCTGTTGCCCAGGCTGGAAGGCTGTGGCCCAGGCTGGAAGGCTGTGACCCAGTCTTGGCTCACTGCAGTCTCAACCTCCCACGTTCAAGTGGTCCTCCCACCTCAGCCTCCCGAGTAGCTGGGACTACAGGTGTGCACCACAATGTATCAGGGGAACCAGCACCCAATATTTCAACATAGGTTCTTTCTATTTTCCCTAAGTGTCGGCTGGTCTGAGAAATAAAGAGTACAAAGAGAGGAATTTTACAGCTGGGCCGCTGGGGGTGACATCATATATCGGTAGATCCATAATGCCCACCTGAGCCACAAAACCAGCAAGTTTTTATTAAGGACTTCAAAAGGGGAGGGGGTGTACGAACAGGAAGTAGGTCACAAAGATCACATGCTTCTGAGGCCATTAAAGATCACAAGGCAAAAGGCAAAGCAAAGATCACAAGGCAAAGAGCAAAATTAGAATTACTGATGAGGATCTATGTTCAGCTGTGCACATATTGTCTTGATAAACGTCTTAAACAACAGAAAACAGGGTTTGGGAGCAGAGAACTGGTCTGACCTCAAATTCAGCAGGGTGGGGTTTGTCCCCACCCTAGTGAGTCTGAGGGTACCACAGAAGACCAGGGTGTATTTCAGTCCTTATCTCAACCACATAAGACAGACACTCCCAGAGCAGCCGTTTATAGACCTCCCCTCAGGAATGCAATTCTTTTCCTAGGGTCTTAATATTATATTCCTTGCTAGGAAAACAATTTAGTGATATCTCTCCTACTTGCATGTCAGTTTATAGGCTCTTTGCAAGAAATAAAATATGGCTCTATTCTGCCCAACCCTGCAGGCAGTGTCAGACCTTATGGTTGTCTTCCCTCGTTCCCTAAAATCGCTGTTATTCTGTTCATTTTCAAGGTGCACTGATTTCATATTGTTCAAACACACATGTTTTACAATCAATTTGTACAGTTAATGCCATCATCACAGGGTCCTGATCACAGCTGACGAAGATAACAAGATTAAGAGATGAAAGTAAGACAGGTGTAAGAAATTATAACAGTACTAATTTTGGTAACTGATAAATGTCCATATTAAAATGAAATCTTCACAATTTATGTTCAGAGATTGATTGCAGTAAAGACAGGCATAAGAAATTATAAGAAAACTATTAGGGAAGTGATAAATGTCCATGAAATCTTCACAATTTATGTTCCTCTGCCTCAGCTCCAGCCAGTCCCTCCGTTTGGGGTCCCTGACTTCCCGCAACACCATGCCTGGCTAATTTTTGTATTTTTAGTAGAGACAGGTTTTGTCATGTTGTCCAGGCTGGTCTCAAACTCCTAGACTCAAGTGATCTGCCAACCTTGGCCTCCCAAAGAGCTGGGATTATAGGCGTGAGCCACTGTGCCTGGGCTACTTTTTTACTTTAACTTTTCTAAAATGCTCTTGAAGAGCTGTTATTACCTTTTATACCTAAAACTCCCAGTTTTACTTCCCTGAAACCCATCCTGGGCAGGCAGCAGGAGTAAACACGCATACTGCAATATTCCAGGGCTGCAGCATCAGACCCAGAGGAGGAGGTAACTACTGGATTAACAATGAGGAGAAGGAGGAGGGGTATGAGTCTATTCCAAAATTGGCCTTTCTTCTTCGAAAAGGAAAAGACCACTTATTGTTTGTGGATTCAAAAGGTTTGTTTCCTAGATATTTTCCCCAGGAGAAAAAAAGTTTCTCAGGAAACCGAGAAAGAAATTATAATGAAAATAGCTATTGTATGAATTTTTTCCTTAAGCTTCATTTTTACATCATTATAATATTTGTGCTGTGATGAAGGTTGGGAGTCCTCTGGGGCAGACCAGTCTATTTGGGAGGGTATATATGGAGTTTGTACGTGAGTACATGCGGGTGAGTGGGCGTGAGGGTGGAAAATGTGTGTGGAACCTGTGTGTGTGTGGAATGTGAAGCATATGCACAATGTGTGTGGAGTTTGGAGTGTGTGTGTGGATGAGAGTGTTGGAGTGTGGACGTGTGTGGAGAGTGCACAGTGCGTGCGAAGTTTGGGGTGTCTGTGCACGCGCGTGTGTGGCAGGTCCTGGAGCGCGTCCACGCGGCACCCCATGGGCAGTGTGCGCGCGCGAGAGCGGA